CTAAAAGAAATGCGTACAATTACACATTCCATTTACAAGCACATTCGATATTATCATTGTGGTATATTAGTAAAAACAGTTAAATATAGCTAACTTTTGAAACATCAGTACACAAAGATCCTAAATAATACTCATCCATATAACCGTCTCCGTTCTAAGTTCTAACCTACAAGTACATAAAACCCACTAGTTCATTTCCTCAAATTCTCTCTTTCTTCAAACTCATATCGAGGGGCATGCACTTTGATCAATAGGGTAGGTGATCACCGCCACCACCGGAGGCAGAACTAGAGGCTGTGGCATTGTTGCGCTCGGTGTGACAAAGCTGACGGATCTTGGTGGGAACATACCAAACGGAGAGGCGGGGATGAGAATTGAAGATGGCATCAATGTCCCAGCCTTGGCCTGCTGCAATGGCTACAAGAGGCTTGTAACATGCATGTCTCCAGGCCCCCACATTTTCACCTCTCTCCTTAAAAACTCTCCTCAGTGCATTGGAGGCCTCCTCGTCCAAGCAATGCAGCGCATAGCAATGCACGTAGTGTCGCATCTTGGGCTTGTTGATGTAGCTTGCCCCTGCCTTTTTGGCAAACCTAAACACTTGGTTTGTTACCTGCACAATATTCATGTCCACACAACCAAAATACAACAATTCACTTGTCAAGTTCACAAGATAAATTATTCATTATTAACAAATATCGGATACCTAAGGGTGGCGACTTTCACACTCCGATTTTATCGGTTTGCACTTTTCTATTGTTTTTCTACCTTGGGAAATAAAAGTAGATGATAGATCATCAAAATATAATAAAGATCGGAGTGCAAACGAACAAAACGGGAGTGTGAAAATCTCTACCTTTATTAAGCCAACCAATTATCCAATTCTACGTCATACTAACATCATTATGGGAATCACTATATATTTCTAACAAATCAGATCAAATTTTTACCAAAGTAGGATTAAAATGTGATCTTATTCACAAACCCAATTTTTTTTAATACAAATTATTGTGAACTTACTCTCCGACATTATCAATGAAAAATTCAGACCCGGTCCAGAGTTAGTTCAAACATTATATTGATGCTGTCAGCAGGCCTTTCCAATTGAAACTGTCGGCCCACTAGATTGTAATTGTTTGTACTTGCGGAAATGGGCCCACATTGACCAGGTATGCGACAGGTTACTATTAGTATTTACTATTTACCACAGTATAAATCAGCGTATGCAACTAGGTTATGAAGACGGGAGGTTGGGTAAACTCCGTACCTTGGTTGGACATTTTTCACCGCGCTCCTTTGCAATGTTTTGGACCTGGATCAAGAAATCACGGCACTGCTCGTAGAGATGGAAGAGGTAATCTAGGCCGTTCTTTTTGCCACGTGCCACCTCCCCAGGCTCAGTCACAATGAACGGGTGCTCCCTCACTCTCTCGCTCGGCAACCCCCCTCCTCCACCGTTCCCGTGCCCATTCATATCGTCCATGTCGTTGTCGTCCTCGTCGTCCACACCCTCATTATGATCATTATTATTATGCCCCCTTCCGATGCCATTGAAATTCCTATATTGCCCATTTTTCGTCCTTCGCTGCTTCTTCCGCTTCTCCCCTGCAGACGCCACCACTTCCCACGCGGCCCCTCCGCCGGTCCCCACCATCTCCTTCTCTTGTTGCACCGGCTCCTCTGACAACCCTACAATCCCATGCACCCCATGTCATATACATACATATTAAAAATGTTTTATGATGAAATATGGTAACAATTAAATAGTTTGACATGTTATATTATTAAATAAAAATTAGTTTTTTTGTTCGATTCGTATAAAAAAAAATGTTTTATTATGAAATATTGTAACAAATTAAGATTAAATAATTTTGCATCTTATGATGAAATATTGCGTGTATAATTTTATGCTAACATGTAAATTGTCATTCTAGGTATTCATGTAAATAGTGACTAACGAACCTTCTTGGGAGAGAGCATCTAGGGCATTGGTGGTGGTGTCGCCGGAGACGGGGCGGCGCCTCGAGTCCTGGTCATCGAGGCGGCGACGCTCTGCTCTGACGGCCGCTTTGATACCGTACCTCTCACCCACAAGCAAATCCCACCTGAATATCTGAGAGAGGCTACTCATCATGTCGTCAAGCTCACCGTCCCTCATATCCAAAAGGGTGTTGACAGTAAAGCCGAGCTCGGCTATCTTCGCCGCCGTGTAGTATCTGACCCCATAAGCCTGGAACAAGTCCTCAAGCCCTCCGAGCTCTCTCGGCGGCCTCACGGCAGCGTAAGCCGCAGCTGCAGCGGCAGCTTGAGGCGTCACGGAGGCTTCTAGCTGAGCCCGGGTCGGCGGAACAACCATGCCTCGTAGGTCCCACTTGAAGAGGCTCGCTGAGAAGGCGTCTGGATCCATATTTTTCCAGAGTGTGAAAACCACACACAGATGAAGCCCACAGCTTCTTCTCTAGCTTTGTTTTTAGTCTTTGACACTGTGGTTGGTGTGTGTAGTGTTCTGTTCCTATAAAAACAAGACCATTTTAGTTTATTCCGAAACTGCCCTCTTACATATGGGATGTTTCCCGAGGAACTAAGCAAACTGGGGTTGATGGTTTCAAACTCGACATTTCGAAATCGAACCGGATTAAAACAATCAGAATGAAACTCTCTTTAGGGTTCTTCTAATTGGTCCCACCACCCAATGAACTTTTTAACTTGTTATGTTATGTTATGTTAGCCCTAGAGTTGACCCTTGAGGTTGCCATTTTTCTTTTTTCTTTTAATAAACATAATTATTTTAATAATTAAACTCATGCGTGTAGGAGTAGCTCCTCAGAGTGCTAAAACTGCTAATAAGAAGTAAAGTTTTCCAAACTTTCTTGCTTCTTTCTTGTTGTCTACTTGTCTGCGTGGTCTCCTAGTTTATGACACAAAATCAACATGATTTTGTTGAAGGGCCCAAAATCTATGACGTGATTTTTGTTGGTTACATTGGAGTTCGAACGGGGGTTACCAATGCCATAAGGAAAGGGGGAAGCGATCACCGCTGCGGTGGGAACCCATTGACTCTATAACGTGATTTTGGAGATGCAAACACACCTTTTTGTTTTGTTTTTTGGTAGTAGGTGGTAACAAGAAATCTTTGACGGTGAAATTGATGGGGGAAAAGCTTAGTAAAATTGGCATAATGGAATGTGGAGATTAAGATTGGCGTTTGTGTAATAGATGGTAATTTTCACAATCACCATCATCATCATCTCTTCCTCGGACAACGTGACGAAAACCCATATCTCTGTAGAGATTCTCAACCTTCAATTACCCGAACGAGCCAAGCATGCAAGAGGGGCAAACACGTCATTCCACCACATGTCATAATAACGAGTGAAATTTACTGTTCCCGTTGGCGATATAAGAAGTGGCAGGGAAGTACAGGGTTGGGCAGGTGTTCTGAAAGGCTGCTTTTCTGTACTTCCCCAAGACAAACGAAACCCATATCCATCTTCTTCTTCTTAGGCTAGTGTCACGATCAGCTGCATCTCCCCCTACGTGTTCCCGTTTATACACCGACACGTGGCCCTGACGAATACGATGTTGTTGCGGCTCCCACCCACGTGTCGCGCGGAGGACGGCGGAGGATCAGGTGCGGTGGTGGTGGTCCACGAGCCGTGCCCAAGGCAGACGGTTCTGATGATGAATGATGAACGATGAAGTGGCGATGTGATATGGGGGAGAGAAAATGGAGATGAAACACGAGAGGGTTCACAAGTTAGTGACTTTATCTTCTTTTCAGAATTAATAGTAAAATATTAGGGTTAACAGAGGGTACTTGGAGGGGGAGGGCCAATGGGGAGGCGACACGCAGTGTACTGGGTTCTGGGCAGTGGATGGATGCTACCAAAGCTGAGCAAGAAGACCTGACTGGGATGAGTCAGTGGCTCAGGGCGCTCAGTCTCAGGGGCAGTCAGGGCAGTCAGGCTGGCTGGAGGGAGCCCTGGCTTTCGCATTGAGTCATTAACAGTGGTCTTCCTTTTACCTTCTTTTATTTTTTGGATTTATTTGTTTGGTTTTTGTTTGTTACGATTTTTTAATTGTTACATGTGATCTTTTAAGGATCCAATGCACTGTTCACTTGGTGATGTGATCTGTTCCACTTTTTTTTTCTTTTTGTTGTTGTTGTAGTTTGTACCAAAAACAAAAAAAATCCACATGTGATGCATGCTGTGAATTATATACTGTAGAAGGTGGAAGTTGATTTTTGGTCCATCCAAAGTTGGTCGCTTTGAAGAATTATTCTGAATTATTGATTTTCAAATGATAGTAAGTTTAAAAAGGAGTTTTAATTTGAATGAATGTTTACTTACATTGGAATGAGTATTCCTCACTTTTCCGATTCATTAACGTCTCAGAATTCTAAGTAAGTAAACATAAAGAAGTCATGAATCAGGGAATTCAAGAATAATTCAAATATCAAATTCAAAGTTTTTAATTTTAAAAACTTTCCTTTTAACCAAGGATAGAAAAGAAAAGAAGATAATGGGTGAACTAAGCAAATTTGGGTTCCAATGGAACCATCCAAATGGAGATGGGCCCAACTCTGCAGGGCTCAAATAGTTGACTACAATAGAATGATATGGGTCGGGCATGGACCATGGATATCCATCATTCCGCTGAGACATATGGAGGTTCTGATTCTGAATGCCTCCTCCTATGGCATTAAGTCATATAATTCAGCTGGAGGTAGAGGCCTCTTTGCGTTTTTTGCCCCTCATGTTTTTCCAAAACCAATATAATGGGATTTAAAGAAATCATGCTTTACCAACATGGTCTAATCCAATGAAAAATGGTATTGATTTGTAGACTGAGGTTTGATCCCCTCGGCACCTTGGTATGTGTGTGTGAGAAACCCCTCCTCTTGTCTTATATTCAAAAAAACAAAAAAAATGGATCGTTTTGTTTTCGTTTTGCTTGAAGCACCAAAAGGACTTATCATTCATTCATTTAGTTGGGTGTTTGCTTGTTACTCTCTCAGCTTTTTATTTATTTATGATAAATGAGTTCATGGTCTTACAAACACGTATGGTACAACAAGATAGTGAATGACTGCATAATAACTTCAATTCAGCTACAAGCTGTGCACAAATATGAGCTTTTGCTCACTTCCTAGATGGGAACCAACGGCAGTTGGCCTCCGTATATCTCCGGAAGTTGGCTTTCGTCGATCTCTTCGAGCAGGGTTGATTTCAGCATTTTGTTCTCCACAAATACTATCTGCACACAGAGAAACCCAGATGATGCATATAATTAACTATTATATAATAGGCAGGTCAAGTTAATTTATAATTTTACATCAATGTGAGTCGATTTTACCTTCTTCTTAGTTTTGTTGTCAATGAAAGGGTAAACGATTTTCCAAACTGTCATAAATACCAGCGGCGCATGGACGATAAACATCTTCCCTAGTCGTTCTGGATAGTAATCCTGCAAATATTTAGTAAACAGTTAAAGAAAAGCTTTCTGAAAATTATTTGGTAAACTGTTTGTTTATCTTGTTTGTAACAGAGAAATGAAAATGGTGTAGAGCAGAACAGACACCTGCAAAATCGATAGAGCTCCAAGGTACCCTCGGATGTCACTGTTTGAATATCCCCATCCTTCAAGGTCTCCTATGGCTATAAACTTCTCCTGTCCTGGTGGGATCCTGGTACATCATGTTCAAAATCGTCACATAAAACATATCGTCGCCGGTCTACCGCTTCGTCACGTTATAATTCCAGGAGAAAATTAGCTGAAATTAAAGTCGAGGATAAATTGAAGTTCAGGGTGAAAACGGCAAATTACCTTGCACATGTCTTGTCGAGGCCATAAACAACAAAACCTGTACAACATTAGAAACTATACTAGTAGCATTAGTAGTTTCAAGCTTTAAATCTCTTAAACGATCCAGTGATTTTGCAGCAAGACTTTTTATTTGCTCATTTAGAATTGACAAAATGTGTGGAAAAAAAACGTACGCTTGAATTCCTTAAGGCCGTCTTGAAAGTGTCTATTGCCAAGGACAACCGCTATTGGACGTCCTTTCTTGTCTGATCCCTGCAAAAACATCTTGTTCTGTGCAATTTGGTTTGGCACCTCTGAAGCAGAAATGAAACCGTTGGGAACAAAAGTTCGTCTCCATTTCAAGTACTTGAGGAACATGGCAGATGCCTGGCTTATATCGAAATCGCGCGCACGCAGGAACCTTCTGATAGTCGGATCATCCACTTCCTGCACACAAATATTGCAGCTCCACATTACCAAAACATCAGATCGGTGATTAAGAACTTGGTGCAGGCATAGCTTCTGATCTGAATTTTTTTTAAAAGACTAGAAGGGTTGAAGTTCACTTGTGTTGACTACAGATTTAGTAATATTTGTACCAATTATAAATGTAGCACCTTGGAGGAAGGATCTTTCCTTTCAACAAGTGCTCTTACAAGACGATTTCGGGTCAGCTCCTCCTTTGATTCAGTGCTGCTTTCCATTATGTTAAAATCCATGATACTCTTCTCTCTCTCTCTCTCTCTCTCTCTCTCTCTCTCTCTGTGAATTTGGGTTGGCAGAGGCTCATGCAAAGTGCCAGTGTTGTAAGAATTGGCCAAAAACAGGTTTTGTTACAAATGCTTGTATCAGAAACAACTTTATTTGATAATTCTATATATGTGTCATTCCATGGGTCCCTTGGTGGTATCATGTACGTTTAACATGAGAATTTCATGACTATTACATATAGTTATATTTATTTATTTGTTTGTTTACTTTTTCTAATTCAAGTGAAATTGTAAGCTACTCTAAATTACAGAAAAGGGGAGATTGAAGTCGATAATTTAACATGAAAATTTTACGACAATGGACATATAGTTATTAGATGGTGACTTTTGTTACTATAATTTTACTTTATTTTGTATTTCTCAAAGTGGGGACTCATATTATTGTAGAGTTTCAAATCTCCACCTCAAATTGTCTCTTTTTATACAGAAAAATATATTTTCAAAAAAGAATATAAAATGGGACTTATTTTTGACTCAGATACATCTTGTTTCCTTGCTAGCCCTAAGTCATCTTGTGTACTACAACAAAACAGTAAATAAGTGTTATATATATATATTCAAAGGTGACTGGATATTTTGATGGCGAGCAGTGCAAGGTTTTTTCTTTTTCCCATCAAGGTGTAATTCAAAGGTGACTGGATATTTACAGCCGGGCTAAATACTCTTTTTTTGAGAATAAAATGGCAAATGTACACCGAAGAACTAGAACAAAATATATATGCAAATTTCTTGGAAGCCCGTAAGCCTCAAAGATAAAAGAAGAAACACTTAAATGATACACCTTCTCCAGCCAAAAACAAATAAAGAAACAAGCTATAATATTAACAAAATTAATTAGATATTATAATGAAAAGATTAAGGTTAGGATTAGGAACACTCACCTTGGAGGAAGGATCCTGGGCTTCAACAAATGCTCTCATGAGACGAATTTTGGGAAGCTCCTCCAACTCACTGCTACTTTCTTGAATATCATTATTATCTGCATGTGAAGCTTCTACGAGCAGTGCTTCTTCTTTTCTGTCCATGCTTCTTTCCTCCTTGTAATGATCGTTTACATTTGAACTCAACACCACCATAGTGCTCATCTCTCCCTCTCTCTCTCTCTCTCTCTCTCTCTCTCACAAATGCAGAAAACGAGAGATCTAAGATCTTTGACAATAAATAACAAGATTACTGGTGCTGATAGATTCAGCAGAAAAATATGCCAAAGATGACTTGAACAATGACTTTTTTGTGAAGAAAAAGGCAGAAGAGTTGAAGCCAGAGGCCCCCACATCAATTAATTTTTTCCCTATTATTAGTTGAGCCTACATTTAATGGCCTTCCAAAGTCTATAGCTAGCCTTTGCATTTTGTATGCATACATTCATATTAAATCACCAGCAATATTAATTTTATTTCGATAGAACACTATTCGAATCCGCATAAATAAAATTCAAACTCAAGTACAATCTGCATAAATAAAATTCGAACTCAAGTACAAATTCTATTTTTTATTTTTTATTTTTCAAGTTATTGAATCACCACCATAGACCATAGTTATTAATTGCTTAAACCTAACACCTTGTTTGAAGGCCAAGAAAAGCTGACCTACTTCTCCTTTTTGAAGGCCAAGAAAAGCTTACCCACATAGAAACCCTTTTACGAAATTTTAAGAAGATAATATATATATGTTAAGAAGGAAGATTAGTAATTAGGGTTTACTAATAGAACATGTAGGGCTTAAAATTTAATCAACGGTTTGAAAACCAAATAATTCTAATTTTTAACGACTAATTGCAGAGTTAATCAATCGGTACAAAAGATTAGGTGACTGACGGTGATGGGTGGAGAAGAGTCAGTGTCGATTTGTGCATGAGGCCATCATATATATGCACACCTGTCCAATTTATTACGTATCACTATTCCAACAGTTTGCATTTATTTAGAAGAACATGGTCATTGGTCACAACAATAATTTGTGTATTTTTGCAACTGGAATTAATCTCATAATAAATGGAAAATACGTGTCTTGTTTCTTTCATTAACTCGTGAAATGACTAAATACCTTGTGAGAAATGGAAGCCATTGCAACCATACATTTGTAATTTGCCATCTCATTAACTTAACAAATGGAGGAGACCAATGAGTGTTATAGATACAGTTGTCTCATCACTCCGTTACAAATAAGTTTTCTCTTATGATGTGTTTACTAATCAGAAATTGGATTTCTCATCAAGAATTGAATTCCGCTTGTAAAGAATTCAATTCTTGGGTGAGATGTGGTATTCTAATTCATTGAGAATTCACCAATTAGGAATTCATCTTTTTTACCCATTATATCCTCACACAATTTTCAAAATTCCAAATATGCCATCTACTTTAACCCAACAATGAGGACATTTTAGTAATTAGTACAACTTCTTCCCCAATTCCATATGGTTTAGTAAACAACTTCAATAGGAATCCAGAATTTCACATCAATAAATTGAAAAGTAAGTGGGGCCCACACAAAATAAGGAATTGAATTCCTGATTTTGGAGGAATTCAATTCTTGGGTGAGATGTGGTATTCTAATTCATTGAGAATTCACCAATTAGGAATTCATCTTTTTTACCCATTATATCATCACACAATTTTCAAAATTCCAAATATGCCATCTACTTTAACCCAACAATGAGGACATTTTAGTAATTAGTACAACTTCTTCCCCAATTCCATATGGTTTAGTAAACAACTTCAATAGGAATCCAGAATCTAACTCCCCTCAATCTATATGGTTTAGTAAACAATTTCATTAGGAATTCGGAATATAATTCTCCTCAATTCAATTCATCCTCAATTCAATTCATCATAATCCAATTAGGGATTAGTAAATATGCCATTAATGATACTGATAAGTCGGAATGTCTCCAGGCATGTTTGGTATCTTACTCAAAAAAGTAAATTCAAAAATTATGATTCTTTTTAAAAACATGAGTTTTCAAAGAGTGATTTTAAGATCTAAAAACTTGTTTGCTATTGAACTCCAAACAATTTTTAAGATCTAAAAAATTAAAAAAATAATAAGAAAATCAGAAACCCTAGATTCCCAAATTTACAAATTGAAATGAGAGAGAGAGAAGAGAGAGAGCGAGAGAGAGAAGAGAGAGAGAGAGAGGAGAGAAAAAAACACTATAAAACTTCACTTCTTTTGTTTTTAATAATTGAGGTGTTTTTGAGTTTTCAAAAATGGGTCTACTAAACGGATTTTTATGACTTTGGATTTAAAATATGTTTTTGAATTTATAAAATTGAATCTAAATAGGATACCTTAATTTCTTCAATTGACTTTCATGAAAAAAATTTCAATCTAAAAAAAAGATATTCAGACAATAATCACAAGTATTATTGAGTCTACATGCCAAGTTGCCAAATTATTAGCACATCTAGCAGTATTTATTTTGAACAAAAATATCTAGCAGTGTTTAGCTAATAACTTCCAAGTCAACATGTTTTTTTTCTTTTTGGAAAATAACAATATTTTTTTTTTTATAACGAAAATAAGATGGGCTCTAATTTTTTTCCCGGGAAAAATAAGGTGGACTTTTTTCTTTTCAATTTATGGTTAAAATTTAAAACCACGCCATTTATTATTTTATTAACCAAAAAGTAGAAATATTTGGTATTCCTAATCAGAAAAGAGCAGGTTGAGGCTTGGTCTTTGGTGTCGGGGACTGAGATGGATTTGCCACCAGACCACAATGGGGGCTGAATAAAATACAAAAACAACAGCCCAGAGATCCGCGTACCTCTTGGTTTCCTTGTTTCTTCAGACCAAATTTACTTTTTCATTCCAGCTCTTCTGCTGCTGAAGCCAGAGACTAGACTAAGAAAAAAGCCCAACAAATTTGAAGGAATCTTTCCACCGATTCTGCTTTTGACGTCCCAACTATCATCTTCTTCAGATTGCTGAAGAACCCACCTGTTTCCTTTGGCTCATATATCCTCCACTACCCTTCTTTTTTTGTGGGGTTACTGATTTTTTAGCTGAGGAAGCAAAAGGATTGGGCAGAAAGATGAGAATTTGGAAGTTGGGTTTTGCTGGGCTTCTTTGTGCTGCCTTTCTGCTGGGGATTGGCTCAGGGGAGCAGGCCCGCACTGAGAGAATTTCAGGTACGGAGAAAGACTTCATCTTTGTCGATTTACATGATTTGATCCTTTTGGGGTTTGCCATTTTTTGATTTCAAGTTTCATTTTGCTGTCCTTTACTGCCAAATCAGTTCTGATCACTTGAAAGTTTGGGTTTTGATTGATGGGGTGCTTTGGAATGTTCGTAGGTTTTGATATTTTAGGGATCTGTTATCTAAAATTAGTGTTCAACTGTTTCTATGCCTTGGTGGGTGCTGATTTAGCTCTTATTGTTCTTACTTTTGATTTGACAATAAACAGGTTAGTCTGGGAATTAATCCCGGTCTCTAAATTTTAGTGTGATGCTTGCTATTTTTCAAGTTAGGTATGAAGGCTTTGATTTTGATCCTCTAATAGTTGAAGTTATATGTTGTAAAGCTGGTTTATTTAACTGGAGTTGTAGCTCCCAGAAGGGTAGCAAAGACATAATGCCATTGTGTCCGTGCTTATGAACTCCAAGAATTATGTTTTTTTTTTTATCCTTTTGCATTTGTTGGAGTTTTCGTTGAGAAGTCTGTAGACTGGGTATAGATTCAGAATCTACTGAGAAGTTAAAGGGTATTAACTTAAGTTTGGTTTGTTTGCACACAATGCAGGTAGTGCTGGTGATGTCTTGGACGATGACCCAGTGGGGAGGTTGAAAGTTTTTGTGTATGAGCTTCCAAGCAAATACAACAAGAAGATTCTGCAGAAGGACCCTAGATGCCTGAACCACATGTTTGCAGCTGAGATCTATATGCATCGGTTTCTCCTATCCAGCCCCGTCCGAACCCTTAATCCTGAGGAAGCTGATTGGTTTTATACTCCTGTATACACTACTTGTGACCTGACGCCCAATGGCCTTCCTTTGCCTTTTAAGTCACCACGGATGATGAGAAGTGCGATACAACTGATATCTTCAAATTGGCCTTATTGGAACCGGACAGAAGGGGCAGATCACTTTTTTGTAGTGCCTCATGATTTTGGAGCATGCTTTCATTATCAGGTTAAAAGCTTGGTTTGCTTCTTCTTGTGCCCCGTCATATCTGACAGACTGAATGAATATTTGAATCAATTGGCCTACTTTTGTTAGCTTGTTCCTCATAAGCCTGTAGATATTCATTCCTTCATGATGTACTGCTGTCATTATGTGATGTTAATTTATTTTATCTGGCATGCCAATTATCTCTTTTCCCTATGCATAATGATTGATTATATTATTGCAGGAAGAAAAGGCGATTGAAAGAGGAATTCTTCCCATGCTCCAGCGCGCAACTTTGGTTCAGACTTTTGGGCAACAGAATCATGTTTGCTTGAAAGAGGGCTCAATTACAGTTCCTCCTTATGCACCTCCGCAGAAAATGCAAACCCACCTAATTCCTGAGAAAACTCCTAGATCCATCTTTGTTTACTTCCGTGGATTGTTTTATGATGTGGGAAATGACCCAGAAGGTGGTTATTATGCAAGGTAATGCTTACAAAGCTTATAGCATTTGAGGGTGCCCAAAGCATCCTTCCATTGTTGTTGCCGGTGAAAAAGGATTATGTTAAACATATTTGAAAAGAGAAGTCATGCCATTTTATGAAGTTAAAACATGACAGCATTTATTAAACAAGATATAAACCTCTGATGGGTATTTAAAAATAGTCAAAAGAGGGCAGAAATATAGAATGCAACTTTCTCGTATTGCTATCTTTAGAAGACAGAGTTTAGGGTTCCTTGGTTTGCTAGATAACACTATGATGGATTGAACTGAAGATAGGAGATGTCTGAGTCTAACTTTACAACTTTGCAGAGGCGCACGAGCAGCAGTGTGGGAGAACTTTAAAGACAATCCTCTTTTTGACATTTCCACTGAGCACCCCACCACATACTATGAGGACATGCAACGAGCAGTCTTTTGTTTGTGTCCACTCGGCTGGGCTCCTTGGAGTCCAAGATTGGTTGAAGCAGTGATTTTCGGCTGCATTCCTGTTATCATAGCAGATGACATTGTTCTACCCTTTGCTGATGCAATCCCTTGGGAAGAAATTGGCGTGTTTGTAGCTGAGGAAGATGTCCCCAACTTGGACACCATACT